AAAGCTTGAGTATGCTTCCTTTAAGTATGAGTGTGACTGTGACTGATATTTTGTGACTGAAGATTCTTTATTGATTAAATAAGGATTAATTATCATTAATTATTAGATAGAAGCCAAAGACCATGTAGCTTATGTATGGTCTTTCGCACAATTTTTAGCAACTTAAAAATTTTTTTAAATTCAATTTTGGTCAAATTAGTTTAAAGTTTCTGCATAACATAAGTACATGTAGATCTATATGCATCAGAAAAATTGTAAAAAGGAGAATTCTCTTTCAGTCATTTTTGGCAAAAATTGGCCAAAGCCCCTTCAAAAAATCAGATCAAACTTTTGACAGTTTAAAAAATAAAAAAATGGAATTTCCTACCCAGTCAATTTTGATGAAATAAATTTTGAAACATTTATTTAAAATACAAATTTGATCAGCAGTACATCACATAAGGACATGCGTAAACTACTAAATTGATTAGAGGTGTTATTATAATTGCCACTGTGTCCGGTAAAAATAATGATTAATTTTAGATTGGGAGGAGTTATAAATAGGCTGACAAGCTATGAATACCATTAGTTACCAAGATGAGCAGTACAGGAAAGAAGGAGCTGGTCATTGCAAAGAAGATTGAGAATGTTCTTTTCATTGTTCTTCTTGTTGTGGTGCTGGGCTTATTCACAGTTCCAATAATAGTCTACTATAGATCTACCTCAGTAAGTGTTCTACTTAATGATGCTAGATTGCTAGTGAACTAGTATAATACTAGTGAACTTAGTTAACAAACAAGCACAATGGTTATCGCATCACGTTTAAAATTTAAATCAATTTGTTTTCACAATAATTATTATATTTTAACCTTTGAGCCATCCAAAAATACAATGCAAAATGTATATAAGATAAGACATAAGATCTTAGAGTAATGTCACCAAGACCTAATGCATTTGACTCAGTATTCAACTGACATCATAAGTTTACTGTGATTTAAGTATGTGTATAGATCTACATCAAGTTAACATGCAAATTATGTACAGCAGTTATTAATAGCTTTACAAACTTTCAATTTAGAATAAGTATGATTCAAGCACCAATAACAATGGGAATCTTAGCGAAGGAGCAATCAACAACAATAATGTAAGCCAAAACTGCCCCAGACTATCATGGAGTCAGGATAATGATGCCTCAGAATGTCATGAGTATACTGGAACTGCTTGTAGAAACTTCCTACATCAATGGTTTCAATGTACCATTGGAGAAGGTGAATTGAATATTGGAGTAAGTCAACAAGAACAAAATCAACATGAACAGACAATTGGATCACTCAGTCCTTATTTAGGTAAT